CTAGACCTCCTTGTAGCCCCCCCTTCCGATAGTCCGGCATATCTGATAATCCGGCACCCCCTGGGTCCTAAAGGTGCCGGATTATCGGAAGTTTACTGTAACAAGTTTCAGAAAACAGTAGGCAGAATGTTTCATAAAGTGGTTTCTAATTTTATATGTGCAAATTTGGAGATTGATTACACAAATGCCTCTGCACACATTAGTGCCTCCTTGTAGCCCCCCCTTCCGATAGTCCGGCATATCTGATAATCCGGCACCCCCTGGGTCCTAAAGGTGCCGGATTATCGGAAGTTTACTGTAACAAGTTTCAGAAAACAGTAGGCAGAATGTTTCATAAAGTGGTTTCTAATTTTATATGTGCAAATTTGGAGATTGATTACACAAATGCCTCTGCACACATTAGTGTGGTAATAAAGACTAAGGCTATGTCTACACTAGAAATTTTTGGTGACAAAAGTACTGTTGACATTCAAAAGTCACCAAATGACGTTTACAGTGCCACATTCTGTTGGTATATCATGGCCACATTGTTAGCTTCCCTGTTGACAGAAAGAGCAAAGCAATGTGTGGGTATGCATCCCACAGTGCCTGGCATCACCTTTAGTCACTAGGCACTATGGGATCGCACAATGTAGCGCATTTTGGGAATGTGAAAAACGTCCCATCAACCACCTCTTTGCTTCACAGCCCTCCTGGCTTCTGGCTTGCTTTCACGTCATTTGAAACTGTGACAGTCCTCGCTGTACACACCAGCATCTGGGTTCATGGAACCCAGACTTTTCTCCTACACTGTGATCAGTGTACTTAGGACATCATAATTGCAGCAGAGCTACTTATGAACTTAGTATCAGAGGAATCAGGATGAGTAGTATCATGGTTCGGCATGGATGTTACAGGACCAGAGAGTCTTGGTGGAGAGCCATCAGTAAGGATCCCTGTGGGGCCGACAGGGCAGTGGACTGCCCCCAGGGAGCTGACACCAGGGCCACCTAGTGCATGGCAGTGGGGCTGCCCAGTGGCGTTGGGAGACCCAGCATGCAATGTGCGAGGATGCTCAGGGAGCCCCAGCATGACATGTGCGGCTGCTCAGGAAGCTCCAGTGTGCGGTGCCTGTGGCTGCCTGGAGCCTCAGCAGTGGGCTAGCTGGTGGAGCTATGGCAGTGATGGCTGCTCAGTGGGTAGGCAGGGCCGGCAAGAGGTGGGGAGCCAGCTGGGAGACAAGGAGCTGGGCCAGGAGGGCCATTGGCAGGGGTCCAAAAATTGCGACCTCTGGTCCAGCAAAATCCCTCATCTGAAACCAGTCAGGTTCTAAAGGTGCTGGATCAGGGAGGTCCAACCTGTAGATATTCATTAAACTTGTTAAAACCTGTTCATGAGAGAATGCGCTTTATTTTATGCAATTTATAGTCCTATGTTATAGTAAGCTTGAGTTTTATTTCTAAAGTCTTATACTTCAGTCAACAGCAGTATGTCTTTTGCCTATTCCAGTACAACGTAAACCCGTGGTGTCCAATCAATTCTGAAGCAGTAGCGACTATAGTGACTACAGCTGTAGCGTACTAGCCAGACTTAACTGACCAAATAGCTACATTGTTCAAGCCAACTAGTCACACTCAATTGGCCAAATAGCCACATGTGGCTAGCGTGTTGGACACCACAAATGTAAACACATCTATGTATTAACTGTTTTACATCTCAAAGCTTTATAATGCTGATGGTGCTGTGCGTTCATCTAAGCTAAAAGTCTGAATACTTTGTCAGTGTGTATCTGCCACTTGAATCTATATCCTCATGAAGAAACAGGGTAGATTTCATTTGTAAGCTACTGTCTTCAAAATGTATAGGATACCTGTCCTTCTCTCCCACCCCTAAAGCCCTCCTGCCCTAATCAGTCATTAGATTTTTTTGTACCTTAGTTGTCCTAAATTCCACCTGGTAGAATAAAATTATTCCAAGTGAATTGAAATCTTGTTGGTCCAAATTCCCTTGGAGTGGAATGTAGATAGCCAATCAGATGAAAATGTGATTCACCATAGAAACAGTTCACCCTATAGCATAGATGTGAAGAACTAACCAATCACCTCTGGCACATTCATATTTAATAGAAAGCATAGCAACAAAGATGATAGCATGACAACGGCAGAATCTGCCTAAGAGCATTTTTGGAAAAATAAATGCCTATGAAAAAAATTCCCTGGAAAGTCATTTTTAATGTAAGTTTCCTCATAAAAAATACTCTTAAGTGGTGCACTATCTTGGAAATTAAACTTCTGTGTATAAAATGATATGATTACATATGATAGATTTGATATGATACAACTAATAGCTCACAGGTGACATAATTACAAGTAAGGGAACAATCTTCTACTTGTAAAGATAAATATTATATAAGACCAAACCATTATATATTGAAATTACATTTTTGTCCTGTTTTGTCAGGGAAAAAATGTACAGGATTGTTCAGGAAATAATGGTACAGCCCAATTTCATGAGCATATAAAAATCCTAGGGCTGTTGGCAGGCATGCACTTAATTATATAGGGTTTAACTTGAATGGGAGTTTCTCATTCTCTCAGGGGTCTTTACATCGTTACAAGTTGTAGGATTGGGACCATATTAAGCTACCAAATACAAATTACAATGTGGGTTTGATATAAACTCCCACAAGCAGTTTCTGAGTTGGCTAAAATAATTAGTCCATTTTCTCTTATCTGTCAGATTAGAGTAGAAAGAGATCTAAGTCTTATTTCAGCTCACTTTCCTTTGCAAAGCAATGGGTAGAGAGAATGAGTACGTGCACACAGTTTGACTGTTCTGATAAATTATTTGGTTTTGACAGAGAGAAGGAGCAAGAAAGGGAAGAACAGTTAATGGAAGACAAGAAAAGGAAGAAGGAGGATAAGAAAAAGAAGGAATCTACTCAGAAGGTAGGTTTGATGTTTTAAGTCTTCCTTCTCCAATTGTTGAACATAGAGAATCTTGTTTGCTTCCTTACTGAGTCTGTGAAAATAGTTCATTGTCTGAAGTGTGGCAATGTCTCATTGAGGATTCTTCTCTCTCTTGGGGTACGTCTAGACTACATGCCTCTGTCGCCAGAGGCATGTAGATTTGGCTACCAGACATAGTAAAATGAAGCGGCGATTTAAATAATCGCCACTTCATTTAAATTTACATGGCTGCCACGCTGAGCCGACAAACAGCTCATCAGCTGTTTGTCGGCTCAGCGCGATAGCCATGTAAATTTAAATGAAGCGGCGATTATTTAAAACGCCGCTTCATTTTACTGTGTTTGGTAGCCTAATCTACATGCCTCTGGCGACAGAGGCATGTAGTCTAGACGTACCCTTAGTTTGCTTAAAGTTTAATTGTATGATGTGGTTGGGATTTCTTCTGTTATTTTTAGAGGACTGGTGGGAGGAGGAGATTAACTGTTTTTGTGACGCTATATAGCAGTATTGTGGGGCATGCTTATCACTTTCTGCAGTGAAATTGAGTGTCAACTGAAAACTTACATTTGAGAGAGGAAAGGTAGTGGATTTTTTATTTTGAGGGGGCATAAAAGCAAAGGAATAAATTGGTATTTAATAGTAAAGCCCCTTCCATGATGCATCTTTTGCTGAACCTTCAGTCTGAGTAATGTGTGGTTTGGGTGAAGGGGGGCACATGGTAAACAGTTGTTGAAAATGGTCTTTTATGGCCAGCTAGTGATTTTTGAGCTGATAGTCTGCTAATGAAACAGTGTTACCTGAAATGGCTTTCAAAAAGTCTAGCAAACTCTTTCAGGAATTGACAAAAATTGTAACATAGAAGGGGTCTGCATGAAACATTTACATGTTTGTATTAATAAACATCTACTTAAATCGGGAGTAGAAAGCATTACGAGGATTCCTAACTACTATCCGTTCTTGTAAGGCCAAAGAAAGCCTAATCGTGTCACTGAGTACTTCATCTGGTATCGTTTCAGTTATGCAGTGTGATTTCTTACTGAGATTCTTCCATATCAGGTTCGCTTTGGCCCATTAAAGGATTGTCTGAATATAATTGTTGCACCAATTTACTTTCATTAGTTTACGAACATATATAGTTTAGTTAATAGTGCAACCTCCAGTGTGGTTTCATAGATAGTGCAGTTACATTGATATAAAAGTATTAATATCAGTAAGTTTGTTTCAGTAAATTTATTAGAACATCTGATTTGATTTACTCCAAAACTAATACAAGAGATTCTGAATCTGATTGGGTTTTTTAGTTGATCTAACATTTCACTTTCCTATCATTATTTAATAGTGGAGTATAAAAAACAAAATAACTGACATGTTCTTCTTTGAATGATTGCTCATGTCAATTCAACATAGGTGTGTATACTCGCCACATGCTCTGGTGCTGAAAATTTTTTCCTTTGAAGTACCCATAAGGGAGCAAGTTCAAGGGCCCCTACAGTGGCATGCAAATACTGCCCTCTGGCCTTCTCCATCTAGCCACCTGTGAGGAACTTGCTCAGCTCAGCCTTAGCTTTTGTGCATTTCCCTAGCTGGTCTTTGTTTTCCCTGTAAATATTTTCTATTGTTAGTCAGTTTACTGTTCTTAGTTAGTTAGTTAGTATAGTTCATTAGTCCTATAGGGACTTTGCCTCAGCCCAGGGCATGCCCTGTTTCTCCCCATCCCTGCCTTCAAGTCACAGTTGTAGTAGGCCTTTGCCAGTGAGTGAACCCCCCTTCCTCACTGCAACTGTTTGCTGTGCTTAGGTGAGACTCACAGAAGTGATAAGTGTAGCATTTTGCAAGCCTTTCAGGCCTTTCTTACCTCGGAAGACTGGAAGAGGGCAAATATAGTTCCCATCTATTAAAAGGGAAATAAGAACAACCCAGGAAACTACAGACCAGTCAGTTTAACTTCTGTGCCAGGAAAGATAATGGAGCAAGTAATTAAGGAAATCCTCTGCAAACACTTGGAAGATAATAAGGTGATAGGGAACAGCCAGCATGGATTTGTAAAGAACAAACCACATCAAACCAATCTGATAGCTTTCTTTGATAGGTTAACGAGTCTTGTGGATAAGGGAGATGTGGTGAACATGGTATTCCTAGACTTTAGTAAGGCATTTGGTACAGTCTCTCATGATATTCTTATCAATAAACTAGGCAAATACAACTTAGATGGGGCTACTTTAAGGTGGGTGCATAACTGGCTAGATAATTGTTCTCAGAGAGTAGTTATTAATGGTTCACAATCCTGCTGGAAAAGGTATAACAAGTGGGAGTCTGTAGGGGTCTGTTTTGGGATCGGTTCTGTTCAAAATCTTCATCAATGATTTAGATATTGGCATAGAGCATGTGCTTACTAAGTTTGCAGATAGCACCAAGCTGGGAGGTGTCACAACTGCTTTGGAGGGTAGGGTCCTAATTCAAAATGATCTGGACAAATTGGAGAAATGGTCTGAGGTAAACAGGGTGAAGTTTAATAAGGACAAATGCAAAGTGCTCCACTTAGGAAGGAACAGTCAGTTTCACACATACAGACTAGGAAGCGACCGTCTAGGAAGGAGTACGGCAGAAATGGATCTAGGAGTTATAGTGGACCACAAGCTAAATATGAGTCAACAGTGTGACACTGTTGCAAAAAAAGCAAACACGATTCTAGGATGTATTAACAGGTGTGTTGTGAGCAAGACACGAGAAGTCATTCTTCCGCTCTACTCTGTGCTGACTAGGCCTCAGTTGGAGTATTGTGTCCAGTTCTGGGCACCACATTTCAAGAAAGATGTGGAGAAATTGGAGAAGGTCCAGAGAAGAGCAACAAGAATGATTAAAGGTCTAGAGAACATGACCTATGAAGGAAGACAAGGAGGAGGGAGACAAATAGTTCTCCTTTGCCTCTAAGGATAGGACAAGAAGCAATGGGCTTAAACTGCAGCAAAGGAGGTTTAGGTTGGACATTAGGAAAAACTTCCTGTCAGGGTGGTTAGACTCTGGCATAAATTGCCTAGGGAGGCTGTGGAATCTCCAGCTCTGGGGGTATTTAAGAGGTGGTTAGATAGGCATCTATTAGGAATGGTCTAGACCAGGAGTTCCCAACCTGGGGTACGTGTACCCCCAGAGGGTACAAGAAGCTTGTCAAGACTGCATGGGGAATATTTGGTAAATAACTAGATTATCCTAATTGAAATATTCCAAAAGTAATAGTGTTAGTGAAAAAAGTTGTGGATTCTAGAGTCTAGAATTTATTTCCTTTCATATTGCATAGGGGGTACGGGAAGGTTTACTAAAAGCAAGAGGGTATGGGGACCGAAAAAGGCTGGGGACCCCTGGTCTAGACAATACTGGGTCTTGCCATGAGGGTGGGGAACTAGACTCGATGACCTCTCGAGGTCCTTTCCAGTCCTAGCATTCTATGATTCTAAGAAGGAGAGGGGCAATTAGTCTGTAGGATCTCCTAATGGAGCCCACGTTAGCTGTCTTGCGTGAATATTTGGATTCAGCATCGAGCACCAGCATGTCAGTACTCAACGCAGCACCACAGCACTGCTCATTGGCTCCACGCAAGCCTAGGCAAAGTAAAGGTGACAAGTCTCCTGGGCCTAAGAAGGATAGGTTCAGAACACCAACACTGGTGGCTCTCCTGCTGGGATTCAGTAGACCAGTCAACCCTCTTTGGAGTGTGAGGGTCCCTTGCTCACTCGCCAGCTTGGTCTCAGTGGCGTCAAACATTTCTGGATGCCATCAATGCCGGAGGCCTTGTAGGCGGCCAAGGATATCTTGTCCATGCTGGTGCCACTCACACCGGTAGTTGTGGGACTGCAGTACAAGGGAAAGTCGGCCACAGCACTGCCCCAGTCTCCACAGAGGTGCACTGTTCCCTCTCTGGTGGAACTTGGAAGATCTCACCTCTGTGGATCAGAGCCATAGAGCCTGAAGCTCAGCCTGGTTCCTGGTAGGGCCCAGGACCACGGAGAGGAGTAGGTGGGACTCCCTGGGACTTAGGTGCAGATCTTCAGAGGTGTGCATCTCACAATATGAATGAACTGGTATTCCCTGAGGCTAAGTACCATTCGAGAGAGAGGTCTCTGGTGTGGCATTGCTTACTCTGCTGACATCCTTCCCTAGCTCGTAACTCCCTGCAGTGCGTCCATAAGGAGCACAGGGCTGGTGGTTCCACTTGACGTTGCAACACTATGTTTTGGTTGATCGGTACCAGTCCTGCAGCTGCTACCGAGCCAGTCACAAAACGCACATTCACTGGAGGACCATGCCCAGGTTCCTCCATATCCTGGACATGGGAGTCTGTGACTGAATAGTGTGTGGTACCACACTCATGCCAGCCCTCTTTCCTGATGCCCATCACTGCATAATCTGTCAGCCTGGCCTCGGGCCAAGCCTCAGTATCCCCAGCGCAAGCTGCTTATCCAACACCTCTGGTACCACACACAGGACTCTAGTTGGCAGCGTGGCCACAGGCCTGGCTGCCTGAGTGGTATTCCTGGAACCCCTGGGGGTTTTCCACACCATCGCAGGTACCACACTCGGTAGCCAATGGGTGCTGTTGCATCCTCGCACTGGCGACCGGAGACTTTTTCCAGCAATTGCTGCTGTGCCGCACAGGCACCAGAGCACCTTCTAGTGCCGCTGGAATCCTAAGGTGCCTGCGCGGTGCGGCTCCTCAGTTGCTTCTCTACTGTCCTCAGCCACTGAGTTCTCCTAATTTCTGTTTAAAAATAGATAAATAGCCAGTTTAACTCCCTAGTTTCCTCAGCATCCAAGTATTTTAGCCCTTTTCTCTTTACCCAGTCTGTTTTAAATAAATGAATTTTTTTCTTCAGTTGCGGTCTGCCGCTTTTCCCCCGGGTGTTTCATGCCCGGCTCGCCCGGCTTTAAGAGATGCGAGGCATGCTGCGATGACATGCCCGTCTGACGGGCACTCTAACTGCATA